TGAAAAAAGAAGCCGAACAAGCCGGCTTCTGGGTAAGCCGATATATGATTCTGATGTAAAATAATCTTTTATATTTTAGGAGTGAATTATTGAAAACTGTTGTAAATAATCTTATTTATTTCTCCTGATACTTTTTAGTGAGTTGGAAAACTCAAGAAATTCTTGGAAACTCTCGGAGATGCTCCATAGCCCTTCTCATTTTTTTTCCATTGCTGTTTTTATCCAAGCCGATTCTTCAGATTTTGTTTTTTACAGTTTTTATTTACTTTGTTTATTTCTTTTTTTTTTCTCTGGTCTAGAATTCTGTCTGTTTTTCTGCCCTTTTTTCCCCTCTGGACCACAATCTCGTCTGTTTTTCTGAATCGACTCCGTCGGCCGTTTTCCCCGTGCGTTAACAACGGAAAAATTATATGCAAGAAAATAACTTAGTTTACGTGTGAATAATGCTTCCTAATATAGTCATAAACAATATCTGCATATACTTAAAATCAGTGTCTTGGAAACAAGAAGAAAACACAAAATCTATCGAGGAAGCATACTTTTAATCCGATTTATCAAAAGCTCAAAGTCCACCACGGTACTGCTCATATCTCTGAGCCACGAGTCGTTCGACAGACCTGATTACAAGTTGTAGTTCCATTGTAACGTACGAGCGTATCCACCAATTTTTCGTCCTTCATTCTTTATCCCGGTCTATTAATCCCTCCCCTCACTCGAGCATAAGAGTTTTTTTTTATCGAAAGAAGAATTATATTAGATAATAGCTGGGTACATCAACACGTTATAAGCACTCTGGATTACACAAATATCTAGAAACTGATTTTCATCTAAATTGTACCTACTTTGTGAATAGCTCAAGATCTCAAAACCAAACCAGTAAGACGCTTTACAGTATAGATGACCACACATGCAAACACTCGGCAAAAAGCCTAAGAACATATGCCCAACGAACGACGGCTAACATTCATGTAGTTGGAGTTGAGAAACTTTTTCTTTATGGTGTCTTCCTTCTTTTTCTTTCTGTCATTGAAGAATGAGGAAGACTGATCTGAAACTTATACTTCCTAGTCCTTTATTATGTACAGATCTAACCATAATAAAACGGAGAAGAGACCGGAGAAAATTATTCTATGGCGGCGACACCATCTCCGCCTTGATGTCGCCGTCTGGAAATAAAAATCTCTACGTCGCCATACCAGTGAGGATGCTGACGTCGTAGTTGTCGTCCTCATCTTCAACAGAGCCGCCATGGAGAAAACGATTCCATCCCGCCCTTTCGTCGACGTAGGAGAGGAGGAGATAAATCACCAAAACAAAAACAAAAAAAACTTAACACGAGGAGACCTTAACCTTAATAACTCGATCTGCGAGAAAAACTTATCTATCCGGTCTCCGGTGATATGCCAGAGCGGTGATGGAGACGTCGCTCGGAGTCACGAGACGCGAGGGCTCACGGTGTCGCACGAGACTCATGTTCGGCAAGGAGATTTGATTACCCGAGAATAAGAGTTTTGGCCGTTTTTTTTAATCAATTATTATATATTATATTACCACCTAAAAAGCCTCAGGTGGTTTCGTCCACAGCTACCATCGTGCGCACACCCGCCAATACCGACGCAGACTCGTTGTGCAATAAAGTCTTATTTATATATAATATATGCATTTATACATATATTATTAGGATTATGTTAAAAGAAAGAAAAAGGAGAAGAAATGCAATATATACATATATTGACAGACAGACAGACATATGTAGATTTGGCATGAGTTCAACTTGTTGATCTATTTACCATCTAAAGCGATCTGGTTAATTTAAACAATCTGGTACTTTGATACGAGTACGAGTACGAGTACGAGTACGAGTACGAGTGCCCAATCAGCCAGATCGACAAAACTCGGAGTCACAAACGAGTACGTATCCATCCGAGTCTGATATATATGCAGCATGCATGTTAGCAACCAAATAGACGGAACACATAAATCTTCGCACATGCACACATACATCTTGCCGGCGCGCGGCGGAAAGGTTGATCCTCCACATGTTGATGCCGCTTTGCATGTCCTGGCCGGCGGCAATCTCCGCGTGCACGACGCGATCAGCCACTGCATGCACACGTACGATATATATCTGCATCCATCACGGGACACTGCTGACCATGAACGTGTACGCCATCTACAGGACCTGGCTGGCGGCGGAAAGGTTGATCCAGATGTTGCCGCCCCTTTGCACGCCCTGGACGGCGGCCATCTCGGGACGGTCGACAGCCTCACATTGTTTATAATTTCAAAGATATGCATCCGCCTGTTCGGTAGGATGGGCTGGTTCGTTGCTTGTTCGTGAAGAAGTACTGCTGGTTGGTTTGTGTGAGAGAAAAATACTGTTCCGGCTAAAAATTTACGATCGTATACGATCGTTTTCCTCCAGCCGAACAGGCTGATGTATGGGCTGAGCTCATCAGTTTAATTATTCAAAAGGTACATATGAGTGTACGGGATCATCAAAACATCCGGTGCCCCTCCTCCCAGTATCCTAATTGCTAAAAAAATACTTTTTTAACACGTTCATACTATTTTTTTAAAATAAATACAACACACGACTTAAATTATCATATCATTGTTATGTTTTCGTGGAACGCACGGGTATTTATCTAGTATAATAGTATAGGCATTAGAGTCCAGGTTGGTTCACTCTCGTGTCGTGACGCAATCTCATGCCCGGTGCTTATACGAATTATTAGAGTTTGCGTCCAATCACAGTACAAAGTCCTTATTCCAAGACGTGTTTAAATAAATGACGTCATTGCAAGGCATACACATGAATTAAAGAGAGAGTGGATTCTTCTGTCGGTAAATTTATAGTTCCTAAAGTGCGTTTATGTCCCTTTTCTACCCCACATGTGATCCAGATTCATGGCTCATGCTCGTACGGGTTAGAAGAGCGCGCACTCGACAATGATACTAAGTCCAATTCTAATGCGTATTGAAATAGATGGCATGGTCACTATTGAATAAATATAAATAAATCATCTATATAACCAACAAATAAGTTGTAGAATACATTTCAATAGTACAAAAAAGATTTTTAGAGGTGGTTAAAATCTGTTTTCAGAGACGGTTTAAAAAACCGATACAATGGCACCGATTGTAAAAATAAGTGATTTTTAGAAAATCGATTTTTAGAGACAGTTCTCTTAAGACAATCGCCCCTAAAAATCGATTTTCAGAGGCGGTTGACTTGAGTCAACCATCCTTAAAAATAATTTTTAGAAGTTTTTAAAAATCATTTAGAGTATGATAAAAATAAGAAATAAATATTTAGTGTGGCCAGAGGCCCAGCCAGCCATTTGTAGAAATTAATTTTCGCCACCATTCGTTATAGTTTAGCAGTTACGATTTGAACTCACAACCTCTTGCTCCGCGCGCTCCGTCCCCTACCACTATACCACACAATCACTTATGTTGAGATATACAATGCTATCCATTTATACTAATATGTATGGATCTTGTAATCAATATCTAGACTATTAAATGACCTTAAATGGGAAAATTTTCCAACTACAAAATTTTAGATCTCTTCTAGCACTACAACTTTCATATAGGATATTTCTCCATCCAAGGTCATTTGAGAAATTCAAAAAATTGAAATAAAAAAATCTAAGACTTAATTTATATATTTGGAACCCCAAATGACCTCAAACAAAAAAAGTTTTAAATCTCGTCGAGCTCTACAATTTTGATATAAATTTTGTCTTCATCCGACTTCATTAAAAAAATATATGAATTTATTTGGGCTGCAACTATTTTTAAGGCTGAAAATCGATTCACTCATTTTCAGAGACGGTTGACATAAGCAACCGTCCTTGAAAATAGTATTTTCAGAGGCGGTTCTCTTAATGGAACCGCCCCTAAAAATAGATATATTTTTATAGGCGGATTTCTTAATGGAACCGTCCACGGAGCCACATTGCTCTCTGACGACGTTATAGGCGGCGTGCTAGTTTAACCGCCTCTGGTAAAAAAGGGAGACGTTACTAAAAATCTTTTCTGTACTAGTGCTTCATTGCAACACACGAGCATACATGTTTTGCTAATACATAATAAACAAAGAGAAACAAATAATGACTATTTTTTTCCTATTCGGCCACTCACTTTGAGTTTTATGTCACTGTTTCTAAGACTCATATGTGTTGAAAATAGTGCAAACGAGTTTCATGCTTATGAAACTTATTTTATTTATCTTATCTTTTTTCACCAATACTATATCATATTAACTTATTTACGTTTTTTAGCAAAATATCAACTTATTTAATGTCCATTAAGCTTTTAGAAAAGCTCACACGTCTTCGAGATGGAGGCAAAACCGTAGGGCCTCGTTTAGATCACCTCCAAATTAAGTTTTTTCACTTTCTCTCTCATATATCAATTTTTGGACATATGTATGGAGCATTAAATATAGGTAAAAAAAATAACTAATTATACAATTTGGTTGTAAATCACAAGATGGATCTTTTGAGCCTAGTTAGTCCATGATCGAACAAAATTTATCAAATACAAACTAAAACATACTACAGTGTCAAAGTTACAAAAATTTGCAATCTATACCAGGCCTAGAAAAGGTGCTCTCTTCCCGGTGACGTCCAGCGCAGCAAGCAGCAAACAAAAAACAAGACGTGTGCGAATACAAATAATGAAATGAAACCGAACCGTCCCGTCTAGCGGTCCGGGTACAATCATGCCGTCCAAGTGGCGCGTAAATTAAAATCTGCACGTCACGTTCAGGCCCACTTGTGAGGAAAGGAAACTACTCCGCTCGGCGACAGCCCACCCCAGACCCCACCCCCTTTCCCCTCCCGTCGTCCCCGGCCGGCCCCAACGCCCCTCCAGTGAGCCGAGGCGGAGACGGTCACGGTGGGCAGAGTGACACGCCGCACGCACGCCTCTCGACTCCGCTCCGCCGCTCCAGATTTCGCCCACCCACGAACCCAGTAACCCACCCACCCATGGCGCTCGCCGCCTCCCACCACGGCCTCCTGCCCGTCGCCCCCGCCGCCACCCTTACCCCAACCCCGTCGCGGGGGCACCTGCTCTTCCGCGCCGCACGCCCTCTGCCCCGACCCGCCCGAAGGTGAGCGATCTGATCCCCGCGGGGCCCAGGGCCCGTCGCGCTCTGCTCGCCCTGCTCGGATGTTGCTCGCTGGAGGGATCGAGTCTCCGTGCTGCGCGGCTTCGCTAGATTATCCACTTGCGTTGCTCGTTACAGAGTAGCAATGGTTTCGTAGAATCGTAGGTGCTGGCTTTAGTACTCTCTAGGGGATTTTTCGTCCCGACGACTGGAGATGATGGTTGAGCCCCTGGTAATTCAGCCTGGTTCGTCGTTTGACGGTTTCGCCGAGTTGTCGGTTGATGATTTTGTTAGATTGGTATATGGAAAGTTTTGCCTGCGCCTTTGATAAGTTGGGCAGTAGTAGGATTCGTTTGGGAAGTTCTGTCTGCACGTCCTGTATCTGTTCAACCCTCAACTCTATCGTCTCAATTCCTAAGTTACATATAAATGATAGTACTAAATAGATCTGTCTTGTATAATACTTTTACTTCCCTGTTCTATACACTGTATGTAATAATCATCTTTATCTTTTTTAATTCTTACCAGAATTTGTTGCCAATCTATCAACTCAGCTAATGCGTTGGGAGCTTCTTCAACGGTATGTTTTCACATGACTCCGTTTCCTTTCCTTTTTCTCCTTTTGCATCCACAGTTTCATGACAATGTAGCGTGCCCTTGTAGTCTCGAACTCTCGATTATAAGATCTGTTTACTTCTCTATTTGGCTGTCATCAGCACATATATGTTCTGATATACTCTTTTAATGAATGTTGGCTTACTGCTTGAGGAACTCCATTTATTCCTCGTGCTTTATTTCTTGTACATGCTGCTATTAATCAGTGGTAGACGCTACTTTTGTATTTATTCAATTCGCCGATGATTGCTTTAATGTGTATTCTTGGGAAAATTCTCATCCCAGACATCTGACGAGGCAGTCCCAGTCCCAGTTGTCCAGATAGATCAAGATTCAGACCGTGATGCAACCATTGTGCAGCTAAGTTTTGGAGATCGTTTGGGGGCACTACTTGATACGGTATAGATTTGTCTTTACATTGTTGCTGCTCAAAATTGTGATGTTTACATTTTTGCTGTATCTGCCAATTATTTTGCCTGGTATTCGCTGTTTGCAGATGAAAGCACTCAAGGACCTTGGCCTTGATGTCACAAAAGGAAGTGTGACAACTGACTCAGCTGTCACACAAACAAAGTTCCATATCATGCGATTGTGGGTGCTTGCCCCTTCCTGTTTTATTTTCGTGTGCAGCATCTAGTTATGTGTGTCTACGTGGAAAACAAAAGAGAGCATTTGCTATTCCTGCACATATGCATTTACATTCACTTTTAATGCCTAAGAGCATAGCATCGGCACATTTATGCTACCTTTGTTCAGCTTTCATGTGATAAGGTTTCTCAACTATACTCTGTACCTGTACACACATAGATTTCTTATACTGTTCCACTATTTTTCATCTAGCCTAGTGTTTTCTTGAGATATTTGATAGTAATCATATAATCCTCGCACATATGCTTTGTCACATATCAATCATTCAGAGTATTGACATTCCTTCTTGAAATCCCTTGTTCAATCTTAGATGAAAAAAGGGTGGCACCCTAAGGACTTTTGTACCAAGATTCCGTTTAAATGCTATAGCGTTACTTTAGCACTACAGAATTTTTATTTGGATTAGTTCTTACAGTAATATTTTCTCCTCCCTTTTGTATGTATCTAGTGGACGCAAGGTTGAGGACCCTGACATGTTAGAAAGGATTCGGCTAACCATCATCAACAACCTTCTCCAGTATCATCCTGTATGTTTGTCATGTGGGGGCGCACTTACGTGAGACGCCGTGCGCGTGACGTGCGCCGCGCTGCAGAGCGCGCCCAGCTCTCGGCTGGGAAGGCCACCGTTAGTGGCTAAGTTTAGCAAGTAGCAATTAGTTATTTGGCTTTCCTATTAGTTTGTTGGCTTTCCTAAATTGTAGGCATGGCCGTTCCAGCCATGGGCTATTTATTATTGTATCCGGCACTTTGCAAATTAAGAAAGATCATTATCCCTAATCTCTCTCTTCTCTCTAACCAAACCCACGGTGGAGGGGCAAAACCTCACCGGAGACGACACGGACCACGGCTACAACCTCCGTAGCCAAGGGCCGGCTACCCTGGGCGTCGAGGCCCTTGACAATGTTTTAGATTCTTGTGTGTTTTAGTTGTTACTCTGCATCGTTATTGCTGTACCTATTTTTTACTATTTCATCGAATGTAACTAACATAGCAATGATTCAATTCAACGGTATATTCCAAATTAAAATTTGATAATACTTGACGTTCAATTGAGCGGAGAGGCTCCTTAATTTGTTCCAAGCGGAAAGGAAAATAAACTGTAATGGCAGAGATAATAACTACTGTGCCGGTCCAAATCATGATCTACATTGACTTGGGTTTTTTTTTTGAAACACAATGGCAGGAGCTCTGTCTTTCCATTAAGATAGGAAAGAGAGTTTATATACCAGAGCTGTAGAGATCCCCGAGCAGGACAAGGGGGTAAAGAGGTGAAAAAATTGTACAGTCGTCTAGGACGATTACTCTCCCCAAGAATGAGCCATCTTCTTCTGAAGGATGTCCTCTTTCGTTCTTGAGGCCACATGCATTGCCGTTTCGTGGGTGTTTGTGAATATTCTTCTATTTCTCTCTTTCCAAATGTTCCAGACGGTGTAGATTACCAAGCCGTTGAAGCGCTTTCTGTCGTCCTTGGTTATCTTGGATTGGACCTCTTCCCACCACGAGATCAAATGGGTTGGATCTTCGGCCGGGAGGATTATGCTCGCATCGAAGTGTTCCCAATGTAGAATGGGATTCCATACTGCTCTGGTGAACGGACAAAGCAAGCCTAAGTGGAGGCACGTTTCCAACGGGCCGTTGCATAGGGCGCATCGGTCTTGGTGTGGCCAACCTCTCTTTTGTACATCGACTTGGGTTTGTTGTCTCGTGAAAATTGCAAGTTGCAAATCTATTCCCTCGCGACGGCCTTTTTTCCGATCGCTAGATGGAGGTTCGACTGCTACTGTTGGCAGGTTGCTATGCCAAATTTGCTGCAGTTCCAACTCGACCAGTTGCTATGCCAAATTTGCTGAAGTTTGATCTAGCATCAATTACCATATCTAGAGGAGGGAGATTCAAATCCCAGTTTATTGGAATGGTGTCCCAGCAGGCCTGACTGAACCCACATTCAAAGAAGAGATGGAAACTTGTCTCCTCATGTCCTGCATTGCAAAGCACACAAGTGTAGGCATCTAGTTCCATATTTTTTTTTGTCCTCAAAAGGTTTCTTGTGTTCAATCTATAGTGCCCTCTTGACAGGGAGGTTGAAACCAAAGCCTTTTTATTTCCATCATACTCCCTCATTTGCCTATACAAAATAGATTTTAATAGTTAATTTCTCTTCTAACATATATTTAGTTGCAAAAAAAAAAACTCTGAGACACTTTAAATATCAAATCTATTTGTACAAGTTTTATATCCTATAAACCTGCATATAGTCAAACATTGATCAAAATTTGTAAGATTCATTTTTTTTCTCCTATCAAATATGCTAATCATTCCATATAGTATATAATATATCTAGATATCTAGTATTTAGGAGCCAAAATTTCTCCCTTATTTTTTAAGCGTCTTCCTCTAACTAATTCCGTGAATATAAACGGTCTCTGTTCGTATCTATACAACTCTTCTGTTTTATATGACACATATGGGCATAAGTTCTTAAGATAGCCTGAATAGTTAGGAATTCTAATTCAAACAGATACCTGCAATCATGAGTAAGTTGAATAGAAATTTGAACCCAAATAAAGCTAAAATTTCTACCACGAAATCTTTTGTCTAGCCTAATCACACACCCGCTCGGATGTCGTAATTTTTTTCCGTTTTCCATGTCCGAGTTGTTTCTCTTTTTGTCGATTATTTTTCTTTTCTTTTACCATAACTTTTTTCTTCCCGTCAATTTTTTTACCATAATTTTTTTCTGTCCTACCCCTACTCTCTACGTTCGTTGATAATTTTGGTCTGCCTATCCTTTAAGTTGTGAATGTGCCTTGACACATCCGGCATCATAATAAAAGACTCCATCCGACCCACACGTCATCCGAGCTCGTCATGTTATATGGATTTTCCGAGCATCTTCAACGGTACCCAATAATCATTCTCAGTCCATTATTTTTTAGAAGAATAAAAAAATTCATCTCCAACAAGTCCTAAACTCACCTCCCAATCTTTTAGCACTTGGAAAAAAAACTCTCTTGCGCGTAAAGATAAACGACTCCAGGTCGTGCCTATCTTCTCCCGCAACGCCCGTATCCTTCGGCCAATCTAAAGCTGGAAAGACTGGAAAAGAATAAAGAATAGAAAAATGTCCTGATGCAAATATATACGAGAGAGAAAGAATATATAAAAGTGGTTAGGATAATTTATCGGCCCCGTTCGGCTTGCTGAAATTTGACTGAAACTGGTTGAAAAACACTGTTCTGACTGAATTATTGTGAGAGAAAAACATTGTTCCGACTGAAAAAGAAGCCGAACAAGCCAGCTTCTGAGTAAGCCGATATATGATTCTGATGTAAAATAATCTTTTATATTTTAGGAGTGAATTATTGAAAATTGTTGTAAATGATCTTATTTATTCCTCCTGATACTTTTTAGTGAGTTGGAAAACTCAAGAAATTCTTGGAAACTCTCGGAGATGCTCCATAGCCCTTCTCATTTTTTTTCCATTGCTGTTTTTATCCAAGCCGATTCTTCAGATTTTGTTTTTTACAGTTTTTATTTACTTTGTTTATTTCTTTTTTTTTCTCTGGTCTAGAATTCTGTCTGTTTTTCTGCCCTTTTTTCCCTCTGGACCACAATCTCGTCTGTTTTTCTGAATCGACTCCGTCGGCCGTTTTCCCCGTGCGTTAACAACGGAAAAATTATATGCAAGAAAATAACTTAGTTTACGTGTGAATAATGCTTCCTAATATAGTCATAAACAATATCTGCATATACTTAAAATCAGTGTCTTGGAAACAAGAAGAAAACACAAAATCTATCGAGGAAGCATACTTTTAATCCGATTTATCAAAAGCTCAAAGTCCACCACGGTACTGCTCATATCTCTGAGCCACGAGTCGTTCGACAGACCTCGTTACAACTTGTAGTTCCATTGTAACGTACGAGCGTATCCACCAATTTTTCGTCCTTCATTCTTTATCCCGGTCTATTAATCCCTCCCCTCACTCGAGCATAAGAGTTTTTTTTTTGTCGAAAGAAGAATTATATTAGATAATAGCTGGGTACATCAATACGTTATAAGCACTCTGGATTACACAAATATCTAGAAATTGATTTTCATCTAAATTGTACCTACTTTGTGAATAGCTCCAGATCTCAAAACCAAACCAGTACGACGCTTTACAGTATGGATGACCACACATGCAAACACTCGGCAAAAAGCCTAAGAACATATGCCCAACGAACGACGGCTAACATTCATGTAGTTGGAGTTGAGAAACTTTTTCTTTATGGTGTCTTCCTTCTTTTTCTTTCTGTCATTGAAGAATGAGGAAGACTCATCTGAAACTTATACTCCCTAGTCCTTCATTATGTCCAGATCTAACCATAATAAAACGGAGAAGAGACCGGAGAAAATTATTCTATGGCGGTGACACCATCTCCGCCTTGATGTCGCCGTCTGGAAATAAAAATCTCTACGTCGCCATACCAGTGAGGATGCTGACGTCGTAGTTGTCGTCCTTATCTTCAACAGAGCCGCCATGGAGAAAACGATTCCATCCTGCCCTCTCGTCGACGTAGGAGAGGAGGAGATAAATCACCAAAACAAAAACAAAAAAAAACTTAACATGAGGAGACCTTAACCTTAATAACTCGATCTGCGAGAAAAACTTATCTATCCGGTCTCCGGTGATATGCCAGAGCGGTGATGGAGACGTCGCTCGGAGTCACGAGACGCGAGGGCTCACGGTGTCGCACGAGACTCATGTTCGGCAAGGAGATTTGATTACCCGAGAATAAGAGTTTTGGCCGTTTTTTTTAATCAATTATTATATATTATATTACCACCTAAAAAGCCTCAGGTGGTTTCGTCCACAGCTACCATCGTGCGCACACCCGCCAATACCGACGCAGACTCGTTGTGCAATAAAGTCTTATTTATATATAATATATGCATTTATACATATATTATTAGGATTATGTTAAAAGAAAGAAAAAGGAGAAGAAATG